CCTTCCAGCACAGGAAGAGAAAAAAATAAAACAGGACAAGGCTGCCCCCTGGTGGTGGTGAAATGCTCTCACCCATGGCAGCTAGCCTGTTTTCATGTGTTTTATGAATTGCAACTATGTATGCTTCAACCTCCCCAAATATGGGAATTTGGAATACTTAGTTTCAAATTAAAGTTTTAAGATTTTAATGTAACCATAAGCCTTCTTAAAGATAAAAGTCTAGTGGCCATATTTTTATCAATCGTGATAGACACTGAACAAAATATCAACATAATTCTATTTAAAATATTTTTTTAATTTTTTTATTCTAATTTGTTATATGTGACAGTAGAATGCATTACAATTCATATTACACATACAGAGCACAAGTTTTCATATCTCTGGTTGTATACAAAGTATTTAAAATATTTCTAAATGAAAGTATTGCGAATTCTTTTTAGTCATAAAATAATTTTATACTCACTGAAAATAATGGTGGCACATAAAATCCCTGGCCGTACAATTGGCTTAGCAGAGAAAAATTGGACTAACCTGTATTTACCACTGCTTCTTTACTTGAAAGTAGGACAATACTGCCTCACTAAAAAGCCTTAAATATTGAAAATAATTTTTAATTTAATGACCTCTAAATAGAAGTCTGAAAATATTAGTAAGAATAAGATTGAGTAGAATGCAATTAAGGGTCAAGCTAAAAAAAAATTAAAAGTTTTCTTACTTTTACAACCTAAAGTAACTTTTTGTAGGGAGCCCCATATGACTTGAGGACAGACAGAATTAAAAAGTTGGACAGTCGATATAAAATGGTTTACTTTATTAAGCCTAATAGACTTAATGCATCTAGTCTGTCTTTTGCGTTAAAAGGTGAATTGAACATTTATGTGTTTACCTCTTCAAAATCTCAAAACCTGGCTAACATAAAGGAAGGGGTTCACTTGGAAGTCTCACTTTACAGAAGGACAATGAGAATGAGCTCGACAGTAGCAGAGGATAAAATAATCCAACGAAGTTTTGGAAGATGGAAAGTAGTGGGGGCAGGGAAGTGACAGACTCAGCAAAGCAGAAGTCCTGGTCGATGGGTCTGGGAACAAGAATGCCAAAATGGGAGTTCATCCACCCTACAGAGCCCAGGGACACCAGGGAGGAGGAAAGCAAAGAGCCCAGGCTATGGAATGGAGATCAAGTCCCGGGGGCCCCTCCCACACCCACCCAGTCAGGAAATTAGGTACCCTCTGCTCCCGACAGAAAACAGATTTACGTTTCCAAACAAGCTGAACTAGCAAGGTACCAAGCAGCGTAAGGCTGGACCCACAGGAATTCACTGAAAGTCAGCTGAATATGGTTCCCTTAAACCCTCTTTGTCCACACTGCTCCCAGAAGGACAGCAGTCACACGTCCATTCCTCTGCATGGGGCAATATGCTAGAGGACCATTCTCTGGAAGCTTAGATCATGACTTGGGGCCTCCAGAGGAAAATTTCCATCATGCTATGATGAAGTCTACCAGGCCTCAACTGGAACTCAGGCCTGACAATAGCCTTTTCATGCCACTCTCATGATTATTAAAGGCCAGCTCAGGACCACCAGACAGCTGAGAAGTATGTCTTCCAGGAGGAGAAAGAGCTCAGACTGAGGATGGAGAGGAGGGATAAAGAGAAAGACAAAGGCTCAGATAATACAGAAACAATAGAAAGCCTCCAGGGGAAAAAAATTAATATATATGTATATCTATATATATAGATATATATATAGAGAGAGAGAGAAATATCTATAGATATGCATATATAGATATCTATATGTACAATATAGATATATATAGATATATATCTATTTAGATATCTACATAGATGTCTATATAGATAGATGTAGATATATATCTACATCTATCTATCTGTCTATCTATATCTATCTATTTATCTATCTAGATATCTCCTGTACTAAGAGAATGAAAGCAGAATTCCATGGAAACGGGACAAAGAGCAGATAAATTTTTGGAAAGTAAAAAATGTGATTTTAAAACATTAAGTACTCAATAGAACAAAAACTAAAGTTAAAGAAATAATTCTAAAGTTCAATAAAGAGACAGAGAAATATAAACTAAGAGAAGAACTGTCTTAAAAATAAGGAGATCATTTAGTACAAATTATACCAAAGGACAATGGGAGTTCTAGAAAATGAGACAGAAGAAAAGCAGGATGAAAGTAGTAAAGAGATAATACAGGGAAAATTCCCAGGGTGGAAGTTTTTACATTTCCAGATTCAAGAGCACTCCTGGTTCCAGAGGCACTGAAAAACAAGATTCACCCGCAGCAGTGGGGACGAGGGAGCATCCTGAAAGTCTCCAGAGAGGTGAAATGGGAAGTGGGACAGCACTGGATTTCCAGCAAAACTATCTACGAGAACACGGAAGGAATGTCTCAGAGTCTGGAAAGATAATAATGTCCACCTGAGAATGAGGGTCAAGTGTGAAGGGCTCATAAAAATAGTCTGGGGCACGAAACAACCAAAAAATATGACTCAACGCACTCTTGCTTAGGAAAAATGCTAGAAGATACATTTCAGAAACAGAAGAGTTTTTTTAAAAAAAAAAAAGAGAGAGAGAGAGAGAGAGAGAGAGAAAGACGCAGGACATAAGAAACAGAGACACCAACTGGAGAACTAAAGTTAGCAACTAAAAGTTCTAGGACAATGGCTGTCACGGAAGTCACTGTCAACTTTGAACTACAAGGACATAATACACAGAGGGCTTTTGTAATCCTCTTGGAAGATACTGGAAGAAGTAACACTAGGTACACAGAAGACTAGAAACACAAACAAGAAAGAAGGCCATTATAAACTCAAAGAAAAACAAAAAGGCCTATGGGAAAGTTTATTAGCACTGAACAATAATTATAGAGTAGTAGTAAACATGGAAAATGAGCTTACATGGAAATTGTGCTATAACTGTATTGTCTGGATACATTGGCAGGGAAGAATAGGAAAAAAGAAAATTATACCCTAAACTGTCACAATAAGAAGTCGAATACCATAGAGCTAAAAAACAAAAACAAAACACAAAAAATAAAAACTGAAAAGATTGCAAACTTTTAGGGGATTTTTTTTTTTTTTTTTTTAGGAACAGAACTAGAAGTTGCAAAGGGGTGGGGCAAGAATCTTGTCTTTCTTACCTATTTTATTTTGTAAACTATTTTACTATTTGTAAACTACTAAATAAAGTTAACATACATATAAAAACTAATTAAAGTTAAGTTTAGAAAGAATTAGGCTACTGCAATAAAGATTAAATAGTATATTTAAATGTAACCAGAGGAGAGGATTATAACTAATCTGAATAAAAAAGTGAAATAGGTAGCTGTTACTCAAAAAAATTCACCTGAATACCCATTTAAGAGAATTAAACAAATTTGTTCTATGATTCTCTCTCTCTCTCTCTCTCTCTCTCTCTC